TATATATATATATATATATATATACAGTACTCGATCAAATATTGTCCACACATTCACAAATTAATATTTCTTTGCTTTGTCATGCATGAGACACAAATGGTGAAATATAAGGCTATCTATGAAAGAGTCAGTAAATAATTAAACAATTTTCCGAAGCAATCAATTATTCCAGATTCTCGAATGACAGGAAACATGAAGCTCAAATATTTCCCTTTTAAGCCAATTGAAAACACACATTATTTTTCCAAACCTAACCTCAAAGATAAGGCTAGTGAACTCAAAAAAACAACAAACGAGACACGATTCTAGAAATAAGGTCTAATTAGCAGATTGGTCATTTGAGTTCAGACTAACTCAACTAGCATTATTGACCAACCTTATGAAGACTTTTTAAAAAAAACGATTTTGAACATCTATGGCTGATGATATTATGGATAGATGTTCATGACCAGACGTCCCTATTTAAATTAATTTCCAGAAATACCCTTCAGAAATGCTTCAGTCTGAATCTTAACTACGCTGAATTAAGGCGATAATTGCTAAAAAAAGTATTATATCGGCTTCAATTATTCTCTCTTAGGTTGAATGTGGTAAGATGAATTTCAATTAATAGAAAATTTCACTTTGTTAAATAACATCCTCTTAGTTATTTCCAACAAATTGTATATCAAATTAATTATTTCCCAAGTCGATTTACTTAAAATGCAATACTATGAAAATTTTTATTGGTTTATTCCAGAAAATTCATTTTAAAATACAATTTTCAGTGTAAACGGACATTCAATAAGGCGAATTCATGGTGTGTACAAGCAAAAATGGGGATAAGAAATAAGGACATTCATTATTTTAGGATCTTTTAGGGCATCCAATCAGAGTGAAAAAAAGTTTTATACATGGGGTGAGTGTTCATTTCGAGTTTGGAAATAAGCAAAATTTGAATTACCGCAAAGAGTTCCATTAATGTTCGACGATTCTTACACCAGCACTATACTCCCCACAACATCTCGAATGAATTTGCTTTAGAAGACAAACTTGAGCAGCAAAAGCAGCCCCACAGGTGGCGAGGAAATAAGACCACGATTGATTTATCTCCACCGTGTAGAGAATAACTGCGGCAATGCATAGTATAGATCCAATGTACAGAAGAACCAGCCTCGCCACATTTTCCGCCTTTGATCTAGTCCTTGAGCAGAGGTGAATGAAATCGATAATGCAGACAATGGCAAGCATTGTGACCCCAATCACCAAGCAGCAGGTCATTGCCAGCATAACGTCTCTTCTTCCTGCTCCATCTTGTGTACAGTCCTCAAAGAGACTACCACAATGCCAATAGGGCAAGACAGTAGCTACCGCAAGGGCAGCTAAAGCAAAAACAAGGATAGTTAGAGTGAGGTGGCTAAGTCCCATGGTGTCACAGTCCTTTGAATGTGTGTGTGTAAAAGTTGTCGCAGCAAAAGTGTCTTTAGCTGCAGAAATAGGTGTGCGCATATATGGTGCAATGGGTAGGCCAATAGGAGCGCGCGGCAAATTAGGCGGTTTGTAAATGAGCCAATGAGGTGGCAATGCTGCGACACAAGTGCCTAATGGGCTAGCGCCAACATTCTCAAGATTTTTTCGAATCTCTTTGTGATTCAATTTGTGCCTGTATGTCAATGTGCATATTATTAATATTCACCATTTTATTTTTTCATATTTCACATATTAGACGCATAATCCAGGAAAGTGGTCCGTAAAAACAGAAATAGGGGTAGACTATTTGATAATTGAGAATGGTGCTACAATTCTAAGAAAAATTCTGTATCAATGTACAAATTGTCAGTTCATCGATATTTTAATGGAGATCTGGGCCTGTCTGTTAGAATAATATGTGCTATCGTTATCTTGGCGTGCATTGAATGCTTTTCTGAGCAAGATGGCTACCTCGAAAATGAAAAGGGGACTCCAGGAATATATTTTGCCGACCTGCTTTCAACCGAAGAGTCCACGATTCCACCACTTTGTGCTTGCAGCAACTTTCGTCCTCCATCAAAATCACATCACAGTGCATCCACAGTGCCCAAGCAATCCACAAAGACACAATCATCTCATGCGAATGCAAATGGCGGCAACAACGCCACTCCACTGCTATTCACTTCTGGGCTTACACGCCTTGTACGCAAGTAGACTCTGTGCTCTAGGAGCTGTACTACAGAGCCCTGTTGCACTTCATTTTAGGCACCCTGTCCCCATCATTCCAACAAATTGCGGGCTGATTGGAGCCATCTCATTCCCCCCAACTCACCAAACAACCCCCCACTCCACTAGTAATAATAACAACAATGAGGTGGTTGGGAGTATTGCAATGAGAACTTTAAAATATCCTTCCAGAATTTACAGACCTCCACTTCATGTGATAAACATGGCAAAATGTAGCTTTAACTGACTATGCCATGCAGACAAAACTCCGATGAGTCATGCTCGCTAGTTCTCTGTTCGTGTTTGGGCAGATCTCATGTGATTTCGCATGGAGGTGGATGCAGTTTGAAGCGCACTAGATAGTCTTAGCGTTTCCACCACGCTAGTTAGGATAGGGCAATAATTCAAGAGACCTCTGCTTATCGACCCCAACTTCCAGCGGAGAAAATAGATACTCCTCGTCGGTAATGCTGTTTCAGGAAGGAGGGAGTTGAAAGTGCGTTTCTCACTTGGACAAATTCGGCATTCTTTTATTCGTCTCAGCCTATGTGTTGGTAACACATCTGGAAACCGTATTTACAGCAATTTACAAAATAACTTAAAATCTCAGTCAGATCCAAATCTCCACTAGTTGCTAAGAGTTTACGGTGAAAGTTGAGAAGTCCAATATTTCAAAATCGTAGCCGATTTTTTAATTCCTAATAGAATCAATTTTAGCCAAATAACACGTTTTAGAAGATATGAGCCTTAAACAGTTTATTGATTCCAAGTAATGCCTGTCAGAGTTGAAAATCACTGATAAATCAATGTTACCGTTTACTGGGTGCGTTAACAACTAAAGTTATTAACCATGTTCAAAGTCAGCATTCGATTACAAACTTTTTGGATAAAATAGCCACTATTTGTGTGAAACGGCGAAGTTGTAATACCAGATTTTCGCCTAATCCGAACATTGCTGTCAAATAGTATTTATTTGGATGCCGTAGTGTACTTTGGCATTTGCTACGAGAGAACACTTGTCTAGTGGAAAATATCAGACATTATTTCCAGATAAAAAATGGTTACACTGTTATATAGCCCAATTTTTTGCTCTCTAAATCTATAAATGTCGATTAATATTGGCACACATCATATAGTTGTCTGTTCGAAAGGAGTTTACTTATCCTTCAACAATTCCTTCAGACAACGAATAGTGGACAAATTTTGGTTGTTCATTGTGACAATTATATATTTAATCCAAAACTGTCAACCCTTTTTTTGTCGCGGAAGCCCATTTAATTGAAATAAGTCCACCAGATCAACAAAATGATCAGCTAAATGTCTGGAGAGCACAAAGCTAGCATGGTTGAGNACCAAACTTTCCCGCTCTGTAAGCTCGTAGACTTAGAAGTAATTAAAAAGTTTTATGAAAATTACAGGTATCTACATTCATCAAATAGCTACTAATTGAAGTAATTTATATCGATTAAGATAAACCAAGAATAGCTCAGTGAACTTGTTCTTTCATTTAATCTATTATTCAGTTAACAAAGTTTAAATTCGTTAAAGCCCACTTCCGTAATTACACTTGTGGGGTGTGAGATACGCTTACCTCCACGTGGTGCACCCTGGGCAAAGTATACTCATACAGCAAAAAAAGTCTATAAACCAGCAGTTGACTTCTGATTTTAAACTACCATCACCCCACTGTATGTCATATTCGACTTCTTCCACAGTATTCACCTTACCTTTTTCCTACCTTTTCTACCCTCGTCTTTGGAGCACTCTTCTGTTCCCCACTCCTCGACTTTCCGTTACTTTGGATGTCCCTTCCCTTCTATGAAGCCTGAAATTAACTAAAGGGCTAATGATAACCATCAAAACGCCTGCCATTTGATATAAATAAATAATTATACTTGTTGTTAGTGATTGTGTCGTCTCCCTAACAAAAAAGGCTATTCGGGGTAAACTGTTAACTTCTTGAAGGAGATATGCGCTCTAACCTACACATATGCTCATATACATTGTATTGTCCGGCCAGCTATGAGGAAAATTGATTGGGAAAGCGAAAAAAGCAGTATAGATTTCAGAATTTTCGCTTCGTTTCTTTCCAGCTCAAATGAAAGTATGCCAACACTTTCAATGACATTTTGAAGAGACTCACATTGAATTTAATACTGCGTTTATGACAACATTTTGTTTTACAACTTTTATAAGACTAGAAACAGGAGGAAAGAAGGTTTTCAAAGTCATTGATAATTGCATTCCTACGAAAGAGTGATCTCAGGAATTGGCATCGATGACAGCCCAATCGGAACAAACTCTTCAAATAGATTTCCTCGTTATTGGTCCTAATCTAAACCCACTTTTTCCAAATAAAGTGAACTAACAATTCGGAAGATAATATAATTAGAAGATCAATTACTCCTACAACAACAATGACGATATTTAAAGAACAATGGAAGAGATTTATTTGAATAAACTTGATTTTATAATGCATAAATATTAAGCAATGTATTAACTATACCATAAGGACGGTACGAAATAGATACAAAATCTAAAATGGGCTAGGATGTTTATTTGGTGATATTTAATGCACTATTATTATAATTAGTAGTAGTAGTAGTATTAGTATTAGTAGTAGTATTAGTAGTAGTAGGAATAATAGTAGTAGTATTATCTCCAGATTGCATAAAGTAAATCCGCTTCAGTACATCACGAAATTTCTCCTCAGTCCATTTAGCTTCATCCTCAAGATTGCTAAGTGTATAGCAGCAGTGCAAAGCGAGGTTATCACCATCAGTCGAATAGTTAATAACTGTGCAATCATAGTTGTTTGTTATAAATTCTGAATCAACAGTCAGGGGTACAGGGGATGGTAGCATATCCGGTCCAGTAGACAAAGGAAATTCTACTTCATTTCTTCTAGTAGGAACTATAAAACAGAATTGTTCAGTAGGAAATGGAAGTAGAATAAATAGGCAAATAATTGCTAAATCACGCATTGTCTTTGCATATGAAGCCGAAATTGTGATAACGAAAAATCAATGAAATCTATTAGCAAATATCGACGCAAAGAAATCATGAATGCAAATTATCGTACTATATAGATTTAAGTAGATAGACATTTCAGTTTTACAGTATTTCAAATTGGAGTTTCACTGCTAATATTTTTGATATAATTCGAGAAAGTTGAATTAATCCTTTCTATCCGTCGGTATGCCTAGAAACAGACATACCTCACCGATTTTAATTCATTCAGCTCAGATTTAATAAAATATTGACGATAATATGCGACTGAGAGCCACCTCAGAAATGAATTCACCCAATCAGAATCTGAGACGAGATTCCCACTATCCATATAGATAAGGGATAAGAAGGATTGCATGTCAGTGGAATGAAATTTAAGCCATTTTGGCCGTGATATGTCAAGGCCAAGTGATAGGGTAAACGCTGGACATCGTGAGCTAAAATTTGCTCTCTAATACAGGTGGAGGAACATGGAATTTGATTTTTAGTTAAGTTTATACGAATCGAATCCAAAAAAGTAATTAAGACGAAACTCTGATACACTGACTTCACTCCCAGCACATTTCCAAACTCTTCCACGCAGTCGACACGCCGTTAAGCGATATCAAAAGGCTAACGTCAACAAGAAAATCGAAAATCTGTTGTCTTACACTTGGCCAAAATCAGTTTGAAGTATAATGTATAGCTCGTGTGAAGGACAAAGGCCTGAATTTTGCGAAATCTCTCCGTCTAAAGTGAGAACTTTCATAGCAATTTATTTACCAAATGTCTTTATTCATTATTCTAGTCTAACTAAATCTAATCAAAACCAGGGTGACTTTGTTAATAAACCGCCCAAGACACACACATCACAAATCTTGCAAGTAGAAACAATTGTATTTAAACTGAAAATGAAAATATATGAATCGTTCATGCATCATCCAAACAGTAACAAGAGCGGTGAGCGGTAAATTCAAGTCTATGCGGCCAACATTTTAAGCAGCTGGTCAGCACAGTCTCTAACCGACTTTTCAATTACTTTACAATCCTTCCAGTAGTGTAGAATCTCCGCAACTTGCTCCCATCCAATTACCGCGTCATTATTCACAGATGAAGTCCCAACATCCCCTTGCACTGGTACCGCATTTCCTATTAGCGCAGTGCGTTTCATACGCAAGTCTGCCTCAGTTTGAGACGTCGCTGTACTGGGAGAAGGAATAGCAGTAACCACAGACGTTCCAAGAGCAGCTAGCAGCCTTTGGGGCACTTCAGGGGGATAGACAAGTGCAGAACTCGTAACCTGGGTTGCATTGAAGATTAGAAGTCTTGAAGCCATACGGACACACAGTCCAGCAAGACCTCTAATTGCAGGTAAAGACGACGAGAGTGAACTATGCTCATTGCTATGGAGATGAGCTAGAGTAGCTAGATTATACACTAGCGATGCGAGGGCAACCATAGGGTGTTTCTTCTTCTCCAAGACATTTACAACTGGGGGATCAACGAATTTACTGACCAGTGTTGCAGTCTTTTCAACTACACATGAGATTGATGCAGGTATAAAAGTTGAAGTTGCTCGAGGAGCATCAAAGAATATCGCATTGACCATTAGACGAAAGACAAAGAGAGAACAAGTGACCTCAGTGTTTGTGAGTAACTTTGCAGCAGAAGCGTCTGTCTCAACTTTGGAGAGTCCTGAAGAGTGCAGAAGCTTGGAAAAGGCGGAAGGTTTGAAAATAGCTTCTGACGCGCGTTTCCAACGAACAAGACATCGAAGCAGATCGAACAGAGGAAAGGCAATATCTGGAAATCAAATACAAAAGTTCAAGCATCAATTTTGTTGAACAATTATGGCTGACTCTACGAAAATGATCAGAATATTAGGAAAGATCATAGTGTACTCCACATATATAAAACTATGGCAAAAGTATCTTCTCATACTATCTTATTAATAAGCAAATAAAAGCAATCAATTCATTAAAAGATGCATACCACTTGGCCACTCTCCAATAACCTCCAGAATGGATTCCGTTAGAGTCAAGGCGTTTTCTTCAGACATACCGGGATTCAACTGTGAAATCAAATTCAAGGAAGATTTTGAGAGGGGCTTCGGCGCTGTTTCATTGAAACAGTTCACTTTATCTGTTGAAGGAAAATAGAAATGGATGTTACCGATTGCAACAAAACATCCAAAGGAACATTTAGAAAGGTTCAAGAGAGGTTCAGGTATAAATGGTAACATCTTGCGACTTTAAATGAGAACACATACAGAAGAGAACCTTAAGCACTGGACACGAATTTAATAGCTACAAATTATAGTAATCCCCCCCCCTCACACCCGCTTGGAGGAGCGCTCTCAACGACCATCTTGGATTAAGAGACAACTGCATAACTAATTGACCACCTTAGTGGAAAACTCGAATGACGTCAAACCTAACCAATGGAGAAGACCATTGCACTGGGTGCGTACCTATGAGCTTTAAACCCATGACCTCTGAGAAGCATGTTAGCTACTTCGTAAATGCCACGAATTTCAGCTATCACAAATGCTCCAAATTTAGATGCTGAAAAGTTAAGAAAGCGATCAAGATATCAAATACGATTCATAAAAATAAAGAATATTATAATCCATAGACAGTTAAATACTTAAGTAGAACATCGTAGGTTTAGTACAACCATTACACTAATATGGTAACCCATAAACTTCACCGGCCAAAACCCCCCCCCCCCCCGACAGTTTCCTTCTTTCAGTTTGAATAGCAGATTTTAGAAGTCTTTAGAGTCTTCTTAACTAAGATTAAAGAGAGTTTAGATAGTTTACGCGAAATATATGCCCACTTATTAACTTTGCCGTTACAAGTAAGACAGAACTTACTCAGAACCATTTCAAGACCAATACTCTCGATGGAAATATATTCTGTTGAGGGGAAACATGGTGGTGACGAAGATTTATAGCCAGAGGATGGCACATATCGGCCACCCCCTGTAAATGGATCCACCAAACTGCTATCTGCTCCAACACTGACGACAGGAGCACCAGGTTTATCAAGACCCGCCTGAGTGATAATAAACTTGGCAATTTGATCAAGGTAGTCTTGAGACAGATTGTGTTTGTAGATAAATAATTGGGCTGCCATCCAAGGGTCCTCTGTCTTGTTAAAAGGCAACTTAACTGGACGAATATTGTCACCCAAGTCCACGGAAAACACATAGTCATATTCCTTAACAGAAAAGTTATAAGTGAGTGGGGAAACAGGTAAATTTACAAAAGAAACAACTTGCGGCTAAACACTATATACAACCTAATGGATTGGCGATTTCAAGAGCCCGAATTTTATAATGATCTTCAAACTAATGAGGCAAGATTTTCTAGAAGAATTTCGAACCAAAAACTTAGGAAGCAAACACTTTCCAACTCAATGATCTAACTCAAAAATAAGTACCATGCAAAATTGCTATATTGACCAACCTTTCCTTCGAATAAAGTCCTGTTTGAGCCCGTAGCGGTATGATCTGCGGAACCAATGACGTCTCCAACTTTCAACCATTGTGATGCACTTGTTGACCACTGGTAACACACAAGCGCTCCATTCTCTCGTATTACTTTCACTTCACCTTCGCTTCGACCTAAAAATAAATGGAATAAAATATAACTACTACTAATTTAAATCAGTAGAGTTTCTAAATTCATGGATGGATAAACGTGTGCAAAGAAATAGCAGACTCAAAAAATAAAAAGTCGGCACAACTCAAAAAAATAATCGATATTTTACTAGCAAAATGATACCTTGACAAATTTACTCCTTATATTTACGCAAACCAGAGATTCACGAGCATGCAGTCCTAATTAAAGAGTTTAGATAATTAGCGACAAGTAGTCTATTAAAAACTATACTAGCTATCATGCGAACAAGATATTTATAACGATACTGCCACTAAAATGTCATTTATACAGCCACCGTTTAATTTTTGGCAAATTACTTGTATTATCAGGTGAATGCTACCAAATAGGATTAAATCCAAAGCCTGTAGTAGTTTGCAGCTTCGGAGAGCATCTACAACAGTCGAATAGGTAGATGTAGTTATTTCCAATTATACACCTCAAACAATAAATGTTAATCGAAAAAATCTGACGAATCCTAATTTCAATTATTTATAGTAGCAATAGAGTACCGTATAAAATGACTTTCCTTCGAAATTCAAAGCACATCTGAACTATGGGAAAAACTCTAATTTACGTCTTAAATAAGCTGATAGAGCTTTTAAAAATATTCTAAAAAGAATGTCTGCAGTTGTCTTACCAGGCTCTAGAACACAGCAGAGCAATTAATACCACCAGATAGGCAATCTCCACAAGTGATCTTCAAGTCACCCCCAGCTTTAGCAATAAAAAACACCCTTGGGTTGACAATCGATAGTAGTAAATGACATAGTAGATCCAGCAGTGCAAAATCATCAGCAGGAAATCGTTTTAGAGTACCAATATTTTATTCCTACATCCATGAAAAGATGATAACTACCCAAGAACAATTTCTAGAAGAGTGAAAATAACTTAGGTCAATGCTCAGTCTTTAAATTTATATGCACACATGGACAAACTTAAGTATCTTTAAGCTGACTAAATATAACCACATTAGTAGAGCATATAGTGACGTAATAAATGCAATACTGATGTAAAACAAACCTGGAATTGCAAGAGCTTCAACCCCCGGTAAATTATGCTTTTCAATTTCCCCGAGTGATTCGGCTGAAACTTGAGAAGAAGCCAGTTCCGCTTCATACGTTTCTATGGCTGCCAACGGAGCCTGGGTTTTGGGGTTATTAGAGAAGAGTCGGATCTTGCTATCACTAAATTGACAGAAGCACAAGGTAAACCCCAATGCTAACAAAGCATAAAAACGTTAAGAATCTATCTCACCTACACCCCACCGCAATATCGCTATCGAAAGTGACTGTAACGCACCAAGCTGTTTGACAGGGCAGAGGGAGAGTCTGCAGACATTTTAGTTGCTGACTACCTGATCGTCCAAGCTCCGGAATGGGCCATACGCGAACAGACCTATCTTCCCCGGCTGAGACAAAGAACTGACGGGCTGGATCAATTGCGATGCTGTAGACAAAGCTTGTATGACCGTAGAACTCGGCTATACACGCTCCCGATTCAATACACCAGCATCGAATGCTTGCATCATTACTAGATGAAAGTAGACGGTTACGGTCTAAGAGAGCCAAGGAGCGAACACAGTCAGTATGACCTCGAAGAATTTTAAGGGGAGTTTTAAACTCCGCTGGTGGAGAAGTTTTTGTAAGAGAGCTTTTAGGAATATTCCAAATGCAAATACAAGCGTCAGATGAACCCGTAGCAACCAAATATTCATCTGGACGGGTGTCAGAAGAAAGCAGAAAAACAACAGACCAAATAGACGTATCTGGTCCTATAAAGCGAAGTAAAGACCAAATAATAAAACAATTGCGGATAGATTTCATATATCTCGAAACTTACGCTGAATTATACCAAGACATGTATCGAAATCCCAAAATCTTGCAGTCGAATCCCAAGAACCGCTCAAAATAATACCGCTTGAATCACAGTCGAGAGAGCAAACTGATAACTAGAATTGAATGGGTTGATGAATTCAATAAACCTGTGCCAGTATGTCCATTCAAAGAAAATACGGGATCAAGTTGACCTTCAATGAAGCCTCTAATAAGGTTATCGTTGGAACCAGTCAAGATAAGACCATTAGAAAAATGACTTGATGGACAAAAGGATACCGAAGTTACATATTTGCTGTGTTTTGCAAATTCCATTGTAGGAAAAGTTTGTCCAGATGCTCTTTAACAAAAAAACATCTCAAGTAAAAATATCATCGGAAATGTTAAATGCATTGAATTTCAAAAAGGAATATAAAATTACCCTTCAATATCCCACGTACGCATTGTCATGTCCCTAGAAACAGAAGCAAGAAGACCATCTCGTGGACAACAAATGCCCCTAACATCACTTGTGTGACCAATAAGTTCACTCCTGAATTTGAAAGCCTCCATTATCAAAATTCCTGGTTGCTTTATGCTCTATAGCACACACCGCAGAGGGCGCCGCCATTAAGGGCATCAAAAACGAAACCAACAGCATATCGACCAATCATATTTATCCCTTCTTTTATGCACCAATCACAATTCACGATGATTGAGCAACAGTCAACAGCAGGATTTTCTTTAGGGGCAGAAGATAAGGAGGTCAGAACGACCCGGAAGCTTGTGTACGTTGACATCTTCCGTGATTCATTCTTGGTTTTAGTAGCCTACACATTCCCTACCTCTGTAGCCAATTAGTTACAAACCCGAAATCATACCTGTTTCACTTCCCTTCCGATACTGAATCCAGACAGTAAACAGAGTCTCAATTTGTCTTATACATCCTGTTTGCTAAAATCAGTCAACTTTGCAGCCAGGGTCTTTGGAATGCGAGGCTGTGTGTAAAACATTTAAACTTATGAAATTCCTTATTTGTGCATATGTGGCGTCAATATTCAACTATAAAACGACAGATAGATTAAGATACAAGGGACAAATTAATTCCCAAGTAATTGAGCGAAGCAATATTTTCCAAGTTCCACAATATATCATAATGCTTGGTTATTGATAATCGTATTTCTACTTTATGCCATTTCAGTATATTTTATTCAGAATGATGCTGGGTTTCTAAGCTGCCAATTAATCGACAAAGTAACTCGCTCTTTATTATTTATTTAATAAGAGAGCAAGTGTTTATTTTACAAAGACATTTTGCCCTCTAATTTTCAATAATATTACGATCATTTTATGGTGATACTCGAAATTCGAAAATAGAAATACTTCTACTAGCACTTTTATTAAGTTTATTCTCGCGGGTAGTTCAGCAAATGTTAAGTCCATTTTAATTTATGTTATATTTTCAAGAAATTTCAAGTAATCATTATTGAAACTATTTAACAAATATTTACCTTCTGTGATGCCCACGGTAAGCTCTTAATCGTAAGACTAATATCATTTGCTCGATGATAACCCACCTCTTTAGTTATTTTCGCCATGTTATAGCCAGCTAATTAAATATAACATTGAATTCAACGATATTAAGAGCATTATTTTGGCGAATAAGGAGAGTAGCGTATTGTCTATTACCCCAATTCCACTTTCAGCACCAATCATTCGAACTCGCCTTCTTTCACATATCTTCTGACTTGTCCAGAAAAATAATAATAAACGACTTAAATAACATAAAATTCTATAACTGACAAGACCAGTACAAACATTGATTTGCCATATATCATGTTGCAAATTGCTTTGAGGTAAATTTTAAGGTCATTTTAGGTTTTCAAGCTTTCAAACATTTTGTAGGTCAAATGAGGTAGGAGAGTGGTGCAGTTGGATTTAAAGACAATGAAGTGAATGTAATGGCATTTTAATTGAAACCATGAAGATCTATGATATTAAATTTAATTAGAGTAAAGTCAGATGAAGAAGTTAAATTGGTTAAAAGGGAACATGCTTTGATAAACAATTCAAAGACCCTGAATATGCCCCCAGAGCTCCTACAGGCTTTTAGAAATCTAGCTTTGTCACAACATTTGAAGTTGTGCTACAAGCTCAAGAAAGGTTTCGAATTTGTAAAATAATTCTCCTCTTAAAAATTAGTGAAATTTTGGCAAAATATGATCTATTTCAAACCACAAATGTACAATTTCATTTTAAAGAATGTTATTATACAAATAGTACATTGCTTTTAAGATTTTATCTGATTAAGGAGAGCATCTTCCAACTCCTTTATCTGTTGAGTAAGTTGTTTCCGAAGCGCCATTTTCTCCTCCAAGTTTTCCTAAAAACACAATTAATAATAAAAATAATGAAAATTACCATTCTATTAGATTTTGCGAACAATTCAGCCTCCTCTTGCCTTTTAGCCTTCTCATCTTTGAGAAGCTGAACACGTTGCTCATACCTGAAAAGCGATTGAAAATCAGGGTTAAATACTTCTACTTAAAATACCTCAGTAGTACTGCAGCACTTACCGATTTTCGAAATTAGTGATCAGAGTGTGCTGAAGTTCGACCTTCTTTTGGAAAACTTCTCGCATCAAATTCTTCTCCTCAATTCTATTTTTTCGAGCTTTCTCCAATGCAGCGTCGAAAGCTTTTCGAATAATCTGTAATTCACAAATACTGTTAAAGGATATACTATGTATAACGATTTAGGAATTAACGGAGACATCTTTTTACCCGCTCCTCCTCTATTTTTTTCGCGTTTTCATATGCCCTTAGGTGTTCTGCATGACGAATATTCAGGTATCTATTGGAAACCACTTGCCGCCTCTTCTGACGTAGTTCGGCAAGAACGAGATTTTCAATAGCCTTGGAATTTCGCAAAGCCTGTAGTCGAGACAGCTCTTCCTGAGACCTCTCAGCTAATTCAACAAGTTTTTGTTGGCGTTCAGTAACTTCAATTAATCTAATATCAGCGGAGTTCAGAGTTATTTTCGAGGGGTTCCCTCCTTTCATATACGACTCTAAGAAAGAGTGGGCTATAACATTAGTATATAAAAAAAATGATGCCAAAATTATCCAAACCCATACGTAATCGGACTTTAATGTAATTATGAGTGTCTTGAGATAAATTCAGCACATTCAACTGCTTCAAAAGTTCATTAAAAATAATGTCGGCTTCTGAATTTCCTGATTTAGCATATGGGGTACAATTGGAACGTCGCTTTTGACGGTTACTATCACCTGAAAACTTAACATAGCGAGTGGAATTTTCACTTGTGCCTCGAGAGAGAGGTCTGGAAATAGGTATGAGAAGTGAGTTAGTAGGTCGGCGGGGTGTGACTGATACAGAAGGTGGAATAATATCATTTTCGTCAGCCTAAGTCAATTAAATACGTGTCAACCCAAGACTTACAAATTTAACATGGGGAATTGATTCTGTTTCTGGCGACGTTAAAAACAACTCAATCGGTTTTGGAAGATTTTCAACAGGAAATTCTTCTGGTAAAATTTCTGCCAACTTGCATTGAAGATATTTCAACCGACTTTCCTCCAAATTCGCGGTAATATTTTCCTTCGAAATTGAACTATTTGAGCTCCCTGCTTCAGATCTAAATATTGTGATGTAGATATATTGATTTTTCAAAATATCAAACAAATTTAAATATTAGAATGAAACCAACCGATCGGAAATAAGCTCAAGCGGTTTACATTCCAAAGAGTCTTCATTTACATCAATACACAGATTTAGTAGTTCAAGCAAATTGTGAACATTAAGCGGATCATGATTAAGAAGGGAATGCAAGGAAATATGATCAAGGGGAAAATTGAGACAAGCAGACAACCAACGAATAATTGCTTCGAAGCGTTCAGATAATGGTTTATCGGTGGAAACTAAATAGTAAAATTTCAATTAAGGAGATTACCGGAAAATGAATTTAATTTTCGGCAGATTTCCTCCAAGAAATCAATAGTTATATCAGTGATCGATGAAACATCATTTGAAATTTGTAGTTTATGTTTTATGTCACATGCTGATTTTAAAGCTTTCCTAGTGTAATGAGCATCTGACCTTTTCATATTTTAGAAGGTCACTGGTTGTCATGACAACATTGTATTTACATAATTTGCTTTGCATAAATAAGTCAAAATAAGTCTATTTTTATTAATTTACTAAAAATTAATATCAATTTTGTTTTCATTGTCTTTTGGCTTTCTTCTTCTAGTTTTTTGTATTACTATTGCACCTTCCACTAGGTTTATTTTTACTACAAGAGTATCTAAATTTAAAGTGTAAATTAGGAAGTCTGTCCATTACCATTTGCTCACATTTATTAAACTGAATTAATTTCAGCTAAGCTTCACTATCATATGCGCAGAGCTCAATCTTTTTGATTTATGCATAATTTTGTTGAATAGTAATGCACCTTTTCCTAGAAATATTTTAATGCCATTTTAAACTGACATGCTATTTTAGTTTCCTCTCTGGGAAATCCGTCCGATTTAAGATTCGTCAACAGACTTGCCGACTTATCATATTTGAGCACCCTTTAAATTTGCTTCCTTTCATTATTGTTCTACTTGCTCATTTATTTCACTATATTCAAATAACCTCAATCTTTATTACGAAATATTCGTTTTAATGCGCATATATTCTTTATCATTTTTCATAACAAAATTTAATTGTCAGAATTCATGAATGTTTCAAATTTAGTAGTTTCATAAGAGCTACCATTTTCATTCATTATATAATGAAAATGGTTTAATTCGATTTTGTGATATCCAGATTAATTTTTATGCTTATCTGATTATAAAATTACGTTTAAATTTTTGTTTCAAGATAAAAAAATTCAACAGGCTTTAATTACACATTGATATTCCATTACTTCGTGAAGCTAAATACTTACTCTTAACGAACTTTTCTTTTATTTAAACTTTAAATTTTTAACTTTCAATGCATTCAACCATTTTTTCCTTATCTTGGCCACGTTCAAATTCTCAAAATTCAACATGCTGCCTTATGGTTTCATTTCTATTCTCAGGCACGTGGAGACTCCAGTATCTAAAGCTTAAACATCATAAGGCCAGAAAATATATTATATCTAGTGACAGGATTAATAATAGTTATCATTAGCCCTTTAGTTGACTTCGGGCTTCATAGAGGTGAGGAACATCTGTTACATAAAGTGGAGATGGGGACGGAAGAATCATTCACAGATATAAAAGTGGCGGACAGACTGATACAAAGGTAGCGGAAAAGGTAAGGTGAGAACCGTGAAAGTGGTCGAATATGACATGCAGTCGGATCATGGTAGTTTGAAGACAGAAGTCAACTACCAGTTTACAGACTTTTTTGCTGTATGAGTATGCATTTTCCTGGTTACACCAGAAATTACTATTAATATTACTAAAATTTTAATTTTGAGGGATTTGAAATCCGTAAATAAACTATTTCTTATATTTACCAATACATTACATATTTACATAATTACCTCGTGTCCCTATTTACATTTCATCCCGTAACTGAAATACCCAAGTTTTATTAAGAACAACATGAGCACTTATCTTTCATCAGAGACTTTAATTAGGCCTTCATATTATGATATACCAAAAGAGGATAGAGTTTTCAAAATCCTGAAACCATTATCATGAAAATTGTCCTCGTTTGAGGACAATTAAAGTAAGTAATCATCTGGATACATGACTTGCCGCGGTTATATAGAATTTCCACATACATTAGTAGGTTTTATCAGGTCATAACTAAGACCTTGAAAGAGGTTTGTTTACAAACTGAATGTATTTATTTTATTTATTTATTTCAAATGGCAGGCGTTATGATAGCTATCATTAGTCATTTAGCTGACTTCAGGCTTTACAGAAGGAAGGTTCATCAAAGTAGCAGAAAGTCGAGGGGTGTGGATCAGAAGAGCGATTCACAGATGTAAAAGAGGCAGACAGACACAAAGGTAGAGAATAAGGTAAGATGCGTACTGTGAAAGGGGTCGAATATGACAAGCAGTCAGGCCATGGTAGTTTGAAGTGAAAAGTCAACTGCCAGTTAATAGACTTTTTTGCCGTATGAGTATACGTTGCCCAAGGTGCACCACGTGGAGGTAAGTCTATCGCACACCCCACAAACTGAATGTAAAAG